AGAAGCCTTATTATTTATTTACTCAGTCACACTTTCTTTACTGATATGGAAGGTGGGTTTGTTTGATCTGCACATGCAATTTTTGGCAGGTGCCAGCAGACAGGAATAATGGGGTTTTACTGCTGACAGCCCTCTTGGCAAAGGACAAGCTTCTTACTCCCAGTTCAAGACTTCTTCTACTGGTTCAGGACTCTTCTGTGCAGTGTGGATGGCAGTGCTCAACAGTGGCCCTGCTTGGGGGGGGGGGGAAGGGGAAATACTCCAAAATAAAATTCTGATTTACAAACTAAAAGGCAAAGAAATTAAAAAAAAAAATCAAACCAAACAACCAAATGAAAAACAACAACACACACCCCTCAAAAAAAAAAAAAAAGCAAACACAACAACAACAAAAACAAACCCCAACCCTTAAAACTGCCATAACAGCCCCATCAAAACAAACCATATTCTGATTTTCAAAGAAAACTTGAGAAATTGCCTAAACTAGAAGCTATTGAGGGACATAAAGTAGTCAAGTAAAAAGCAATTCCAGGTAATCTCTGGCCACTCCTGCTGGTATGAAGTAATTCAGTGTCTTGGTTAATGCAGCAGATGATGAACGGGGGCAGCTGGACCAGACCATGATAATTTCAGCTAATTCTATTATGGAGAGGGGAACAAGAGGCCTAATCTCCAGCAGGAAGGGCAGCTGAGGGAACTCATCTATCCCCATAAGCACCCCCAGAACTTTACTGGGATGCCCTAAGGAAGCAGAGGGGCTCAGGACCAGGGGGAAAGTGTCAGCTTTGTGCTGTGCATCCATATGCCAGAGCAGAGATCTGAGCACCAGCTGAGGATGGAGACACAGAATGACAGAAAACTCTGAGATTAGTTAAAAATGGAAGCGACACAGAGCTGTGATAACTGGGCATCTCATGGCAGGTGCTTCCATCTGGCAGTAGTTCTTAGTGTAGGTCGGGAGGACAATCTGACACGCACATTTCTGGGCCAACAGGCACATGGGAAAAGACCTGGGCCTCGGCTTAGCCCCATGAAACCTCTTGTTTCCTCCTGCCAAATGCCTGCAAAACCTCCCAAGAGGGAGAGGCAAAATGATTTATAGCTGAGTTTCGACGTGCATGCATGAGAGGGACTAAGAAGTAGTACTGCCTCCCAGAGAGGAAGTGGTGGAACTGTGCTTTCCTTGTTTCATATTTTAAGAGAAGGCAAGGAGATAGGGGGATGTTTGGAATAGTCAGGCCTGTTTGAAAGCCCAGAGCCATGCTGCACCACCTGCCTGAGGCAGCCAGAGAGACGTGGTGAAATAATCCAACCATTTGGTGAGGTCCAGAACGACCAGACCTCATTGTCATCACATCATTCCTCTCCTCCTCTCTCTGTATGCACATACCTGTCTGTACATACACAAAGTGTGTGTATAAAAACACTGAACACTTAACCCCTCAAATTTCATACCAAATTAATAGAATCTCCCTGTTTGGGTGGGTTATCCTGTAATTCCCACTTCTTTCATGAAACATCTCTTGCTGGTGGGCGTGACAGGCAGAAATCTGAGACACCAAGGTGCTGGTACCTTTGGGGACTGACACCAGCAAAACAGCTGCTAATGAGCTCCAGGGGAAAGCCTTTATTGTAAAATAAATTAACTGATGGATATCACAAACTGAAAAGATTAAAACCTACCTGATCTGTGAAATTTTTATCCCTCATTCAAACAATGATCCTTGACTGCTCATGAAACCTTCTCAGCAGTATCAGTTTATCAGCAGCTGGCTGCAAACCAGGCACAGACTCCTCAGGGGTTGGAGTGAGCCTTTGAACAGGTATTTGGACTCTGATCCAGCCATACCCTGCAGCCCTACTAATGACCTTGAGAGAGGACAAGGCCTAAATACTAATAATCAGGGTTTCCTAGGCCCATGGCTTTCTCCCAGATGGTCATTAATCCCCAGAAAATGTGTACTGGTCTCAGTTGTTAATGCCTAATTAACCCCATAATGGCAACATCTCTGCCATAGCTACAAGCTTTCTATTCCCCCTTGAATGCACTGAAGACTCCAACACTGCCCAGTCAAGGCACACGCTTTCCAAGAGGCACAGCAGCCTATCAATTACACCCCAATTACTGGGGAAAAAGATCCCTGTGGAGTATAGATATGTCAGATGACACTCTGTGCAGCTGCAGAAAATTCCTTAGCCATTAAAAACCTGCTGATCCCAGGACTGTGTGTGCATTCCAGATCCCTGTAGCACTGCTCCCGTGGAAGTTGCAATGCAGGGGAGGGCTGTCAGCTCTGGGAAAACTTCTTGCAAAATACACTTTCCCAGGATTTCCTTCAGCTCCAACAATCAGAGCAGCAAAGAGCAACTGTGACTAAGTAGTTCATAAAATTATTTTCTTGTCACCAGCAGTAGGTGACTCAAGTCTTACCCCCTGCATCCATGATGACTGTTGGGAATTACCAAATCCTTCTGGCTATGGCACACAGCACAGGCTTCACATCATCTTTATTCAGCCTCGTGGAGGGCTATTTTGAGCCCCATTGTAAGAGGGAAGGAGCTAAAGCAAAGGGGGGATTTTAATCCTCCCTCATTTTGCGTGCCAAGGTCAAATAATCTGGTAGGATGTAGGTGACCCTCCCACTGCTCCTCACATGGAGGAAACAACCCCTGCACCTCTGGCAGTGAGGTGTTAAGCTGATGCCAGCTCCTCCAGACCTGCTTGTTAAGTTTTTCTGTCTTAGGCAGTTCCTTCTTCAGCAATGCCTACCTTATTCCTGGTCTGCAAAAACAAGTTATCACCTTCCCTCCTGTGCTTTCCACAGTTGTTCAGCAGAGTGGGAAGTGCATTTCCCTCCAACTAAATTGTGTATTTCCAAGCTACAAACTGCTTGGAGCAAACAGATTTAGATAAGAAGGGAGAGCTGTCTCTCTGTCACTTGTTTCCTACAAATAGCCTGAACTTAATTAATTCTGGCCTGAATTTTGGAAGCTCATCCATCCTGGCTGAGTTACACCTCTCTTTATTGCCTTCTCTATTTCATTATTTCTTGTCCTCTTGAAATCTCTCTGAGAGCTGCAGGGCTGATGCTCCTTGCTCACATGGGCTGCCTGCAGCACGACCCCGGAGCTGAGTGGCTGGGAAAGGATGCAGGAACTGTTCCAGTCACGCTGTAAAATTAAACAATCAACTCAAAATTGGCCAAGAGACAATTTCTCTCCTGAAGATAGAGTCTAAATATACACTGTTCCTATTTCTCCCTCCAGTACAGAATTTGGGGTAAACGTCCTAAAAACATGCAACAAGTTGTTCTGGCCAGCTTGATCCCTGATTGCCCTTTTGGGCTTTCTGGGCATATTTTGTAGGTAGAATAAGAAGCTCTTAAACTCTGTGTTCAAGGCCACAGCAACTTTCAAGACAATCTTGATACATAACAAAGAGAAGGGTCAGGAATCCACATGGATCCTATTAATCCTTTGCCAGTACTATTTACCTCAGCCCTTTTTTTGGTGGTTTGGGGTTTTTTTCTTTGTTTTTTGGTTTGGGGTTTTATTCTGTTCAAGGGAAATAGCAGCTCTAGCAACTGTAATTGCTACACAGATGGACTTGAATAGCAAAGCTGAAAACTGAAGAGATCTCTCTCTCTCGTTTTCCTCCTCCTTTTTTCCCTCCCCCTCCAACCAGAGTGATCTGAGCATTTGTGCTAATTCATCAGCTGATTCAACACTTTTGCTTGGAAATTTTGTTGCAGATGATAGAGGTCACCTTAAGTAAACTGCCAGATTCCCTCTGATAAAAAGCTGAGAATGGAGACAACAGCTCCCTTTAGGGACTAGGATTTGTTTTCTTTAATGCTATTTGTATTTTGATGAGGTGGGGGTTTATTTTTGATTTTTTTTTGATTTGCTTGTTTGGGGTTTTTTAATTTCTTTTGACAATCTGTGCTTAGAGGCTTCAACCAAAGAGGAATACACACATCACTGAGCAATAGTATGTTAAATTCTAATCCTCACAGCTGTGATAGACAGGGAAAGAACACTCAACATGTTATTGCTGTCTACATTAAGTGTGTTGGTGCTGACAGACGGTTTCTTGAGAATTTACTGTGGTTGTTGTGCTAAAGAGAAGGGAGAAACTTCTCCTAAAACCCCCTTTGGGTATTTCCAAGGTAATCATGCACTTCCTTTTTCACTCCAGAATGAGTTTTAATACTTTGAAATAGAATAGGTTTTTTGCTAACATAGGCTACATATCCTGAATAGCCTGGAGGATTTTAAGTTCATTTTCACCTAGCCATGAATTTCCCCTGATCCACTTGTTCATCTTATTTGTATGAGCTTCAGCAGAACAGGTTTGAAAATGATTTGGCTAAAGTTCAGACCTATTCAGGTCTGTCAGCTGTACCTGAACCCTACCTGAGGGCAAAATACCCACGTTCCAAGGCATCACCCCCACAGCAAGCCACACTAGCAAATCAAACTCCTGCAATTTGGACATCCAGGGAGAAACTGCAGAGCTTTTCTCCCAGGTGAGCTGAGGAACTCTTGATAAAATGGTGTGGTGGGTTGCCTGTGGCTGGACATCAGGTGTCCTCCCAGCCACTTCATCCCTGCCCTTCCCAGCTGGACAGATATTGCACTCCGGGTTAAGCTCTGAACTGCCCAGAGCAGTTGCATTTTTTTATTTAAGACGTTTTAAAAACCTTTTGGTTCGTTATTAACCTCTAATTAATGTCTGGAGAAAAAGTCGCACACTCTTCTCTAAGAGAAATTCTTTCTAATTTAGTGAGAAAAATAAGATATTTTGGCAGAAGGTTTTTACAGGAGTAAAATACAACCAAGAAAAAAAAGCCTTTCACTGAAACATTCAGCACAAAGATCCATTCCACAGGAAACACCCACTAAAACAATCCATATACCAGCTTTAGTAAAACACAGTTCATTGGTTTTAAGTTACCCACAAGAGAAGGAAAAGAGTAAAAGAAAGCAACAGACAAAGGTGGGGTAAAACTGTCTCTTTCTTTATTCCTGCCCTCTTTTTCCCTTGTCTTTCAAAAGATCAAGTAGTGTATAAACATTGTTTTGGTTGTTACAGCCACCTCTGGGAGTCACACGTTTGCTCCTCCTGCCACTGCTCTCCTGCCTGCTCCATGTTCTTATACTGAAATGACTTCTCCTTTTTGATAATCCTCCCAGGAAAGCTTTGGGTCTTTGAGTAATTTCTCATCCCACTGTCTCCTGCGTAATGACCTCCACACCCTCTCTTTCCTGTGCTCTTGTCTCAGGTCTGATCATGCTCACCTTCAGCTGGAAATGCCCCAAGGCTAGGGAGTATGTGGAAATATGCATGATTAAATCCCATTACTCTGAAGAAATTACAGTTAATAACGTTCTTAAGAAGCCAGGCAAGTGTGTATTGAATCAATGATGCTATAGGGTGAAGAAAAACTTATAGTATGACATTTTTGCCTTTAAAATATCACTCTCAAATGAAGCTTTTGTCCAAAACTGGATAAATTCCTTACAATCTTCTGTTTGCTTTTATTCTAAAATAAAAATAAAAATCTCTGCTTGTGGAAAGCTGCCACATGAGAGTCTTTAATACAGAAGAACACTGTAAACTGTGCTTGAAACAATAAAATATAAGTGCCATGTTTGGGATAAAACGATTGGGTCAAGAGCAATACCTACACACAACTGACACCATCATCGATCTAAGGCAGCCTACCTGGGGCAGTCAATATTCCCTTGGTCATTGGCAGGACAGATGTAACCATCTGAGAGAAGAGCATTAAGCCATAGGTCAAAAGTTTTAACAAAACACTTGGAAGGCTCCTGGTGTGTTGGGAAAAAAGCATGTCCTCATCACGCTTGGCGAGGATTCACCTCAGTGACTCTGCTGTCATAAAATACCTGGCACCCACAGACTTTTTTTTCCTGGGAATTTTTTTTAATGACTAAATACTTGGAGGAATGATTTGTCACCTGAACATACAATTAAACCCATTTACAGTAACGCAAGACCTACTGGATTTCAACAAAGTAGGTGTGGAGGCTTCTTTGCTTCAATGCAGCTGTTGCTCACTGGTCAGGTCCTCCCACTCTGCTGAGCCCTGGCTCTTCACCTGCTTTCCCTCTGTGATGGCAGCTGCACCTTCTGTGCCTGAGCATCCAACTCCAGGGTTTGTCCTCTCTGATGTTTGGCAACAAGGATATCAACAACAGTCTTCTTTGCCTCAGTCTTTCTTCTTTGCCTCACTCTTTAATATCAAGACTAGTTGTCCTCAGGATACCCAGCCCCCAGGGCTAGAAGTTGGGGATGGGGAGCTGAGTGAAGCCCCCATGAGATGGTTACTGACCTGCTATGCCAGTTAGGGTCTATGAGTCCCAGTGGGATCCACCCTGGAGCAACGAGGCAGTCAGTGAAAGAACTTGCCAAACCACCATCAGCCATCTACCAGCAGTGCTGCTTAACTGGAGAAGTTTAAGGTACCCAGTTACCAAGGGAAATAGGTGAGATCCCACCACCAGTCACTCCATTTTGTAGATTTCCTAATTACTGCCCAAGTTCTTGGGCCCCCCCAATCCACAGTCTTCTCTCTCTCTCTCTTTTCTCCTGGTGTACCATCAGCACAAGGAGGAAGGGACAGAAGGCAGTGTGAGAACTGGCTGCCTCATCGCACGGAGGGACAATCCAGCTCCCAGCACTGCAGAAGCTTTAAAAACACGGCTTAGACCACATGCTCAAGGCCAAAAGGTCTGACTGCAGAGAACACAACCAGCAATTCCCCCTGTGCTGCCCAAGCAAAGTGCTGACAGTGTATTCCAAAATCTCGTGGTGATTCTGCAGGAAAGCGCGTCGGGCTCGAGTTGCCTTGCTGGCCCAGCTACTCCTGCTGATCCAGTGACAAGGAGACAGAAAACCTGCAGAAAACAGGTGTTCCCTGAGATATTATACATAGCCTGGTGTGGTGACAAAGAGGATGTCATGCAGTGAAGGGTTTGAAGTGGGAATATGAGGAATGTAAACACGTAAGAGAAAGAATTATGGCAGGAGTTGAACTGAGGGCTTGGATGACAAAGCTCTAGTGAAAGAGGTTGTGGTCAGCAGTGAGTCTTGGATGTAAAGGTGGGGTTGGGCCCTTTAAAGTGTTACCGGACAGGCAAGAAGCACAAGGGAAAAAAAATTGAAAAAAATTGAAAATTGAAAAAAAATTGAATAGAAGAGAAATTCAATCCCCAAGTACAGCTGTACAGGTCAATCTTACTGGAAACATCATCTCTCTGCCAGGTGTGGAGAAGGAGGAAAGGGCAACCTCCTCATCTGGTTCTCAAAACACTCTGGTTTCACTCATTCTTTGTTTATATAGACTGTAAATAGTTCAATACAGACTCTTGAAGTAGGGGAATGAGGAGGCCATGTTATGAAGTCTCATTGAGATGTCTTGAAGGGTACCTCACAGATCTGTTTTCTAATTGATTTTCTTAGTTCTCACTCTGACCTCAGTTGTTCTTACTGGAAAATTGCCCTGTAATCAGAGCCTGCTGCAGAACTAGGTGGAAAAGCTGCAGAAAATCATCCCTTTCTCCTGCTGTTTATTTTACCAGCATCTGGGGACACGTGGAAGTTTCAGTTCTGTCCACACTGAATCACAGGCATAGACAAACCTGTAACAGGACTGTGCAGAACTGTCCATAGACAGCTCTAGGGAGCTTGGAGCTGACAATGGATCTGTGTGCTTACAGAAGCAGTAAAAAACTACTCTTCATTTCAACCCACAAGTGTTCTATTTGCATGGAAAATTTTGGCACGTGGCAAGTGTTCAGCCCATGTAATAAATACAGCTCACATTCCAATTTTTTGTATTTTGTCCTAACCTTGCATATAAAAGACATGGGGGTTATATTTTTTTCAATCATTTTGTCTCCTTCAACATTTCCTTCAGAGCGACGTTGAAGCAGGAATATCTTCAGCATGAAAACCAGTCTCAGCTCTTTTCTAATAAATACACCATCCTAGAGACTGCAACCTTCTGATCAGTACCTTACGAGCCAGCAGAACAACTCGAGTTAATTAATTACAGCTCCTGTATATATTAGTTTGTTAAGCATGTCATCATCATCATCATCATCATCATGGCCAGGCTTCGCCCACGAGGATTTGGGGAGGGCTCTACCCACGTTTGTTACAAGCACACTGGTGGCTGAAAAGGCCAATTTGAGATAGACAAGTCCAGTTGCAAAAGGCACAGCGGAGACTCTTTAGGTGGTATTGAGAGGACACAGTTCTTTCTGCGTTGTCTTTTTGTGTATGAGTCCTCTAAAGGTAGAAATCCTCCTGTCTTTGCTTCATCTTCCAAGCTTTGGGTGGGCAATCCACTCTCCTCTCTCCTTCCCACACTGCCACCGCAGTATTTTCTTTGTGTTCAACTGGTGCTGCAGCATCAGGGTAACAGCCACAGGCCTGTGAGTAATTCAGTTAGGGGATATCCTGGCTTGACTCAGCTGGAAAGAAGCTGTGCAGAACAAGATAAAGGAATTAAGTGTGCCAGGCTCAGGATAATGCTCTTTCCTGTTAGGTGAACAGGCTGGCTGGCAAGAGCTGTTGAAGCCCAACAAGCTGGGAGTCCCCAGCCTAAGGTGCCACTTGGCTGGTGGCCAGAGCTCAGCTCTGTGCACGGAGGCAGACTGGCTGATTTGGCAATCTGGGGGGCCAGTGTGGGGTGGTGGGGGCAGCAGGTTTCTACACAGTGCAAGCGGAAAGAATTAAAAGTGCTGCCTGAGGGTGCCTTTAACAGGGATATCATCACAGGTGGGTGATTCTGCCTAACTGTGGGGAAGCAGCAAAGTGGGAGGTGTTCCCCAGAGAGGCTGGGAGTACCTGAGCCAAGGTATGGGAGACTGGACCTTCCACTGGGATGCTGGGCTCCTCCCAGCTGGCCTTCTGTTAACGGAGGCTGCTCACAGATGCCCACAGGAGAGGCTGTAAGGGCAGCCTGTGCCCCAGAGACCCTCCTTCTGTCAAAACACAAAGCACCCAGAATCCAGAACCATTCCCAGAAATTAATATATACTTCTGTGTGAAAGAGGTTATACTTCATAGCTGTTACATGGCTATCCATATAGATATCGAGCTATATAAACAGTAATTATCTCTATCAAACATTCAAATAATCATTATGTAGTTTTGTTATCTGGAGACTTTTACACAAATGCCAAGCACACAGTTCAGGGCTTTCTTACCTGCAGTTTGTATTTCTGACAAGGATATGACTCACCTTTTCCACAAAAGACAAAATGTACTTACCAGCCACCCTCAGAAACAAATTTCCTCTGTGATAAGAGGGGCTCTTTCGTGCTTCTGAAGAAGAATAACCCCTTCCCTGCACAGGTATGGAGGTGGGATGTGCAGGACATGTCGTGAAGAGCACAGGAGCTGGTGTCCCAGTGACAAACCCCCAGTCCTCCAGTGACAGCTCATTTGGGGGTGTGATGCAATAGAAGAAGCTACACTGAGTTACATAATTTCCTTTAGGCTGGTTTAGTTTTTAGTGAAATGTTGTGACACCTTGCAAGTTCATGTGCTTTTATCTCGTTATGTGGAACCAGAAGACAGTAACTCCCCTCTTCCTGAAATTGCAATAATTAAGGAGCAAAATAAAGCACTTCCCCAGCCATGTTGGCTCCTGTATATCATGCAGACAGGAGTTTACCCATGTCAAAAAGATTATTCAAGTTATTCAAATACAGAACTGTTTGCAGAAATTAGCCTGAAATATTCCTAGATACGTATTCAACTTGATGATTCCAGTTGGTTTGTTTAGTTTTTCTTAATGTTTATTTCTTTGCTCTGAAATATATTGTCAAGCACTGGCACAGGCTGCCCAGGGCAGTGGTGGAGTCACTGTCCCTGCAGGGATTTAAGATGTGTAGATGTGGAAGTTGGTGGGCTTGGCAGTTCTAGGGGAATGGTTGGACTCGATAATATTAAGGGTCTTTTCCAACCTAAATGATCCTATGATTCTATTCTCAGAATACATTGTCATTTTAAAGATGTTACACAGCAGCACACAATCAGCTGGTCAAGTAAAATGTTAGGTTTAGTCTTCTTTCCATAAAAATGCCTTCAGGAACAATGTGACATTACTGCTCACTAGTGAGCAGGGGAAGACAGGAAGAGAGAAGAGCTCGGGAAGATAGGAAAGAAACAGAGGTTGTCAGAACAAAACAAATGGGTGAAATACTGAGAAATGCTATACTCTTAAAAACCAACAGCCATAGGCACAATGGCATTAAAAATACAGCCAGTTTTGGTGACATGGTGCATATGTGGAGCATCTTTTTCAAGAGTGACAGATGTGGGATATATATGGGATATATGGAAGCTGTGCTTGGATGGAAACATGCTCATTATGTTCTTGGCATGATATATGACCTGGGCTTTCATTTATGGTGGCACCGTGTCAGCAGACCTTCTGATTGCAATAATGTGCTGTAATTACCACATAATTTGCATTCATTACCCCCGACAAGAATTGCAAGTATCCCAGTCAAGCACAGGACCATTAACACTTCTTATATCAGTATTACATGTTGAAGTTACCAGGCTTTCTCCCTGACAGGGTGATCGGGGTTGTGGTTCTTCGGATCAGGCTCTCTCTGGCTTCTTCCCCTCCAAATCTTTTTCTAGATCTGGTATGAAAGATATAACTCGTGCTTTGGCCAGTCTACAGTTTTTCCTGATAGAAGAAGAAAGCAGAAGTCTAATTCTATTTTTTGTTTATATTTTTGCTAAGTTTTCTTTTTTTATGTGTCACAGACACCCCATTATCATATGGAGACATGTAAAACTGCAGTAGCTACTGAATGTGCCCCATTAAGGTCTAGTTCCTTAAATGGCTGCATTTAACAGGGGGCAGTTAAATTGAAATGAGCAGTGAGCAGTGAGGCATTTTATTATGTTTTATTACCTTTTAATTGTGGATTTTATAACAGTGAAAATGCTGCCCATTGTTAGAACGTGTTAGAGTTCTCTCTTTTTATACATCAGATGTTTTTCTAGTCTGGTGTTGTCTTTTTTTTTGGGGGGGGGGTTGGTTGGTGGGGTTTTTTTGTTAGTTTTGCTTTGGTTTGTTTGGGTTCTTATAGCAGGTGTTTTTAATAAGTTCTGGCAGTGTTATCTGAGGATCAGAGCAGAGGGACAGGCATCACAGGATAAGGATGAAGTCTATTTATTTCTAACCAGGTGCATAAAATAGAAACCTACTGTCACAATCTTAAACCCCCACAGTAGTATTTCCAAGTGCTAAAGTTGAGCCCTGCCTCAGTGACCAGCTGCTGACATCGGTCACTGTGACACATTTTGCTTCTTTAAAAACTTTAATAGGAACAAATAACAGATATTTAATAGGAATTCGCATCATTAGTAAATAATACAGGAATTTTAGCAAATATTGGTGAAATCTGTGAATTCCCAAACTGTGTAGGTGGAAATAATGTTCTCCAGTACCTCTTCCCAAACTGCAGTAACTTTTCTTTGCTGCCAGCCTGCATAGCTTCTCCAGGCCTCTGCTTTTCCTTTATTTAAACCTGATGGACTTGTCATGTAGGGCCCTTGTATTTATGTAACAGAGGAAATTACCAGTGAGCTGAGACCTACTGTGAAGTATTTAGCTGATCAGCTTTCAAATTAATTAAATTAATGCCACAGTTAGGTTTGGGGTTCTTGCCTTTTTTTTTTTTTTTCACATTTTTTCCTTAATTTAAGGTAGAAAGTTGGCACTGAGGAATGTTTAGAAAGGGCAAAAGGAGTAGAGAAAGACTAACAGCCTTGCTGTGCTGCTGAGCAGTGCCTTGGGACAGGAATGCATCAGCAGAAGATGCCATTTACAGCTTGGCTTCCCTGATGGGGAAAAAAAATGTCCTGTTTTAAATTTATCCATCACCTACAGAGTGGCATTAAGACCTTCAAAAACAGATCAAATTCTGGCCCAGACTGGAGGTGCCACAGAAGTGTGTTTGCTTGGAAGGAGAGAAAAACTTTTGAAAGTGACTTCACATGAGCTTTGTCTTGAATCTAAAGCAGATCTGATGCACTTCCCAGGAGCTTGCTTTATACTGGGAAAACTGGCATTGCCAGAGGGATGTTCTAGCAGTGGGAAGACCCACTTTTCTCACACTGGTGGAAGTAAGTAGGAGTAATTCTTACTTCTCCAGAGAAAAGCAAAATCAGTCCCTACTGCATTTCTGTGTGCCTACATAAGCTGTATTAGTCCCCTGCAGGTGACCTTTGGCACCTGTGACTCTTTCATGCTTTAAAAAGAAAATGAAAATGGGAAAATAAAAAAAAAAAAAGAAGAAAAAGAAATAGCATTGCAATGATCCACTTGGTTATATTGGTACACCCTGATGTGCAGACTCATGGCCTGCTTCAGTTTAAACATATGCCTAAATGATTTATCTAAAATGAAACAGGCTTGGTTTAAATCCAAGTAAATGTGTGTTCACTCCATCAAAAGAGAGTAACAGCAGCTCATTTATTGCTCATCAGTCAAATTTGCAAAGATGATTTAAAAGGGAACATTGATGGTGAGGAGGAAAGTCCTGGATGACTGGTACCAGAGGTGGTGTGGGTGCAGTTTAGGGTTGTTTGAAAGACTTAGTAGCTGAAGATGTCCCCTGTCCCTGGGGGCTGGATTAGATGGACTTTAAGGTCCCTTCCAACCTAACCTACTGTATTATTCTATTCTATGATTCTGTGATTTTCAGCAGCAAGAAGCATAAGCATGATCCTTTACTGCAGTTCCACTGAGAAGATGCCAACTCCTTGGGCTGACCTGGCCCTTCCTGCAGATGGACAGGAGAGGCTTCTCCAGGTGAACAAGATCAAGGGGAAAAAAGGGCTGAAGAGCAAGAGGGCACAGCATGGTCTGCAGAAGCTGCAGGTGAGTCAGAGGGACACGCAGGGCTTGGAGTGCAGTGGGGAGGAGGGAAAAACAGGGAGATGTTTGAGAGGGGAAAAAAAATCCTCCCTTCCTCTCTGGCTTGTTCCTTCCTGGCAGAGTAAGGAAGTATCCTGAACATGTATTCCCTGCTACGCCTCCCTTGCAGATGGTGTGCCAGACACACTCTTAGTTGGATTCTCCAGCCATTCCTGCTTCATATCTCCTGGCAGTGGGCCAAGCACTCTCCAGATCAGTATGTCCAACTGTTCTGGTCAAAGAGCAGTCCTTGTGGCTGTTGTATGCTCCCAAATCCAGCCCAGACATTCCATCAAATGTCTGAAGTTTAGCTGCCTCTTTCTCCTGATGCTTAGACATCTTAAGAATTTGGTTTCATGGCAAATGTCTCAATTCCTCTGCTCATTTCCTGCATGGATATGTTACCTCCAGCAGCTTTCTGCCAGGAACTCACCAAACTCCTGCAAATAAATATTATCAGGGTACCTGAGACTTTCAGGTTCTTATTTTGAAGTATGTTTGGTATAAGAATTGTCATTACCACACCTTTACCAAACATCTAAGCAATTCCAAAGTGCTCTAACTCGTAATTTGTTTTTTCTTAAATAGAAAACAAGAGAAGGAACTGGGAACAGCTCACCAGGGTTTCTTATGGCTGTTTTAGGGCCAATCTAAAGACCTTTTTGTTCTGATGTTTGCTATATATGAGCTGTACACAATGCAGTGGCTAAAAGGAGAATGAAATTATGACGTGCTGTACCACCTAACTGTTGTACATCTGAACTATTTCAAAGTGAGCTATGAAAAGAAAGGCATCTTTAAGGATTCTCATGTCTGCAGTGACCCCAATTTTAAGCACAGGTCAGGTGGGCTTTCCACATTCAGATACCTCAGTGTTTTGCAGCGTTGGATTAGAGTGTCTACCTGCTTTGGGGTTGTGACTCAGGTTAAATAAAACTAACCTTGCAGGGCTTTGCCATTCCTGTGACTTGTCCACTGGGGAAATTTTTTTCTGTGGGTTAACTCCCACAAGAAGAAACGCTACTCAAATTTATTTTAGTATTCAGGATGGTTCCTGTGTATCCCGAGCACTTTGTCCTCCTCAATGGTTAACTCTAAAATCTCAACAGGAAAAAAAAAAGACCAATAGTGTCCTCCTTAGCTTTTGAAATAGCTATTGCAATATTTATAATTGCTGCTGGATATTTGCCTTTGCATCTCAGGCAGTTTAGCAAAATAACAAAGTGTGAAACCTAGGAACAGGCTTTTGTTCTAGGAATGACCTAGAAAACTAATAATTACCCAGTGAAGTCCCTTGTGTTATGACGAGTTGATCAGCTTGTCTCTATTAATCCCCCCAAACTGGTCAGGTCTCACCATTCACTTGTAATCCCAGAAATATTCAGGATGGGAACTGAAGCTTCGTGTCCTGAGAGCAAGCTGTTACTTGCAGATTTCAGTTTAGGAGAGGGAGGAGCACTGAAGGGTAGCTAATTTGTGGTCAAGTTTGGAGTTGCAGCGAACACCCTGAGCACAATGAAGGCTTAGAAAGTATGAAGTGGAAGAAAATAAGCCAGTATTTATGATTAAATATATCTTATTGATGAATCAGTTGTGAATGGGAGAGGGGGAATTAGCAATGCCACCTACTTGGGCAGACAACAGAACAACATAGAATCATAGAATCATAGAATCAGCTGGGTTGGAAAGGACCTCCGAGTGGGCATGTCTAGATAAATCCATGGAGGAAGCACTGTTTTAAAGAACACCACAGCTTGAGCAGACCAGGAGCAGGACATGGCTCTGTTACCTCAGCTGAGTGTGCCTGGGTCAGGATTTTGCAGGTGAGGTCCAGCAAAGGTCCTCTGCCAGGTCCAGGGCTGGCTCTGCATCACTCACCCCCCTGCTGGGTTTCAAGG